ATAAAAAAGACATCAATATATTTTATAAACATTTGCACGTCTCTGAGAAGTGTGAGTACCACACCAATTTGGACAAAAAGTTACACTGCACTTTGATTGACACGAGAAACACGGCATTGACTGTTTTATTTCTGCTTTTTAAGCCCTTTGCAAATAGTTGGTGTTTCAGAACACAAAACTTATTCCCGTCTATGTGGTACCAAAATTTGATATGTCCGACGGCTCGAGTTTTATAATATGTTTATGTAACAATTTTGATATGCAAGGCTCTGCATATGAAATTTTAATGGAAGAAGTCACTTATTAAAATGAGACATTTATTGAGTGCGACAAAGAAGAAATGTGCTCTGAAAATTTTGTACCTTCTCAAATGAAAAAATAAGCATTTCCATAGATCTATAAGAAGTTGATTAGTGCATACCCCCATGTTGAAAATCACAACAAAAGCACACGAAAATGTTGTGCAATATCTCCAAGACCATGGTGGAATGTATTTAGTCAGGTTTGTCAAGAAAAAAATCAAATTTTGATTTTTAAGAGATGTATTTGATTGAAAATATGATTTGTGTGATAAATTTTATAGACAATGTGATGGAAAAGAAAAATTTTGTCCTTCAGTGTTTTGTTATAAAGAAGAAGAACTTGGAAGTGCTGTTTTGGTGTTACAAAGAGACGCAGAAGAAACAAAGTAATTTGTTTGTAACATCCACAAAAGAACTGGATTTGATAAGAAATGTGTATGTTATGAAAAAATATATTTGAGAGGACTTAACAATTTCCAAGGAATCGGGCTTTTTTGATAAGCTTGAAATAAATATAAAAAACAATTCGAAAAAACACTAAAAAAAGAGAAATCAACTCAAGCAAATAATGATACAACCGAAAACAGAAAGTAAAAAACCATGCATTCTAAAACGAGTAAAATAATTGCTATTGCCAAAAGACCAACAAAAATTCCACGCAAATTATGATACATATATAAATAAATAAGTTTTAAAAATTAAAAAGTTGATAAATGGTAAAATAAAGGTACACCAAAAAACTGTGATATCACGAAAAAAGGCTAATTAAGTTTTAATTTTTATCATTTTTTAATTACATTCGTTAATAAAATAAATTGGTTATTACTTATTTACATTAATATAATTTGGGTTAAAATATTAAAATGTAATGTATGTGATAAATTCTTATATATATTTTGAATTACATGTATAACTAACATGATAATTATTTTCTTTGTTTTTTCTAGTTAAACGTTATTTTGTCAGCGTATATTTTTTATTGTTTATTTCAAAAACAATACAATATGGACACAAGTATTCATAATTTGGAGTGAAAAGTGTAAATTAAAAAAAATATAATGAAAAAGAATAAAATTATTCATTTAAGTGATTTATTTTGAAAATTTAATTTATATTGGAAAATTGCCCGATTAATAAAGTAAATGACAAAGGTTAATCAACAATTTTATTGGGAAATCATTTTCAAAAATATATTAATACTTGTAATAAATTAACAAAAAAACATTTTTATATAAAAACATACAAATTTCCTGAACCATATATCTTTGACAACCAATAATTCTCATCTTTTTAATACAAATAGCCTAAATATTCGGTGTCAAAAAATATAGTGTGTCAACTGTTTATAAATAAAATATTGATTGATCTTTTTGATAATTTATAAATATAATCGGGATTTAAGTGCTTATTTCATTTTGTCTCTAATTTTAAGTTTTTGTATGATATTTGAACAAATGTACATTTTTAAAAATAAAGTAAGACACCAAATAATTATGCTATCTGTACAGTTGACCAAATAATTATCAGAGACCAAATAATTGTAAGAAGGATGTATTTCCCGTTAATTACCTTGGAAATGATTAATGAATAAAAGTGAAAAAAAGGTACACCAAAAAATGGTAAGAAACCAATTTTTATTTGTAATAATAGTTTTTATCTAAAGTTTTAAAACTCTTTATTTTACTTCTTACAATTATTTGGTCTCTGACTATTATTTGGTCAACTGTATATCTAATTAAATTGTATTTTTTAATTTTAATATAAAATTTTTATTATTACAGTAGGAGAAATGAACTAGGATCATTAGAACAATTAGGGCAACTTTAGTAAAAAATGTGAAACGGTAAAAAAATACATTTTTGGGACAAAACCCTTTATAGGCAATAACATTATTTTAATAACAAAAATTCAAATAACATTTTATCAATAACATTATTCATTAAAGAAAATACCAATAACAAAATCCAAATAACAAAAAAATACAACAATTTGTTTAAATTTTAAGAGGATGTCTTTTTCTCGTCGATCATCACCTCTTATCCCAAGCCGCAGCATATTTTGGTTGTTTTAAATGGATTTTAAAACCCAGTTATAGACACCTCTCATAGTAATAATACTTGAGAGGTCTTGTATCACTCAGGTTGTTGCTTTCTATTGTGTTAATGGATGCCAACAGATTAATAAAACAGATGTGAATGAAACAAACAGTATGAAATAAATTGTTTTTTTCGATTTTTTCTTTAAATAAGTAAAAATTTTAGTTAATCACTTATTAACCCTGAATATATAATAAAGCTATTCAAAACTATTAAGATTATAAATAATTATTTTTTTAAAATAACATTTAAAAACAAAAAATGTAATAACATTTTAAACTGTTTGGAATTAAAACATGAACAATTTGGTATTACAACATAAAATTATTATATAGTGTCATAGTAGATAAAATAAACATGCAAAGGGGTTCATTTTCATCATAGGTTGTCAAAATATTATCATGAAATAACTATAAATTCACTATCACAATATTTGTTAAAAGACACTTGGACTGTAAATACCATTTTCATGAAGTCCAAAGTTAAAGATATGATGAAAAAAAATCTTAAGTCATAATTATATTATTTTGCATGTTGATTGCTAATTCGAAAAGATTATACCCATATGAAAAAACATTTTCTATAAACAAGGTATTTAACATTAATTATAATAGAAAATGTTCAACATTTCATAATTGTTTAAATCTGTATTTCCCGTGATTTAACGGTGTTTTGGCGCAATGAAATATAGAGAGAAAAAAACAAAAATGTTGAAAAAAAGAAAAATGAAATTAGTTTGAATTGATTGGACAATTTTGTAAAGTTTCAGTTTTTTTCGA